CTATAAATGTACAAAGTGACCAATTGTCTTCGTAAGATCTCCCAATTATGCGTATAACATGACCCATAATGTTCTTCTATCATTAAACCCCCATCATATCATTTCCACCTTCTTCGCAGGAGGGCTGTGAACATATCACGTGGTAAACCTCGATTCAAATTTCAAAGAAAGTACACGTCATGTATGTTATGAGCCTCGCTGTCAAATTGTCAAAGTATAATACCACCAGTGAAAAATTAGTTTTAATTGAGATGTTAACCCTCCTCACTGTAGACTCTAAATAAATGAACCTTCTCAGCTTGAATTTTCGAGAGAGATTTGAGGGATCGACTATGACCCACGACCGTTCCTCCAAAAAAACGTATGAACAATGGCGGACAATGATTTATGGCCAACATCTCTCTGGACGTCTGATGTTTGTCACTTGGTGTTTTTGTGTCAGATTGTAAGACGATGACTTGAATCAGAAACTAAAGAATTGGCCCTCATTCTCTCGATGGACAGACGGGACATGTAGCTTAACAATGGTTTTATCTGGTCCAAATCTCTTGTTAATCTGCTGTTGACCCGCCGTGGTCCAGTCAATTAAGACGGACATGAGATACTAGAGTTGGACATCTCGACATGCTCGTCAACTCGTCATAACAATACTCGCCACTTACACTACTTCCTAACCTGACCAAATTAACGAGGAAATAATGAGAAGTTTAACTTGCTAATGAGACCATGTTTTGACTTGTTGACACCATGCTTTGATGGCCAACAACCTCTTGAAACTTTTTGAAAAACATCTTAATCCACAACTTGACGATTGGAAGGGTCTTGTCGGATTTCAAGAAGGTGATTTTGAAGTAAACACTTGTAACATCTTCTTGAAAATGATTAATCTGTTGAGGGATTAACCAAATTCATTCGATCTCGAGATTTTCTCAAGGTATCTTTTCTGGAATATTTTGCTTAAAAGTAATTTTTTCGGTGTTTTGACTTTTTTCATTTTTTTGAAATATTCCTAAGAAGACCCATTTTTCTTGGAAATCTCAGGCAAGAAGAAATTTATTTTAAATTCTAAAAATGTTTAAAGACCGGTTTCTTCAAAATCCGTTAGCGCTTTTAACTACTGATATTAAGCAACATCCGCTACTTGCAGTTTAATCTGAATTCCCCCAGCAAGTTACTGTATTTAAATGTGAAAGTATCCATTAAGTTAACTATCAGGTTGATACTGGGCTGTTGACAGTTGGTAATTGAGCCATCATTATTGAAGAGTTAGTAACAGCAGTTTCTACCACCATCCTTGTTTAGTTCTTGTAACAAGATCCACTTCTCATTAACCAGTCGATCTTTCTCGTTAATTTCCGTTAGTTCCTACATGAACCTCGTCCACATTCCTATAGGGATGTAGGGTGGTATAGTGTAACATCCATTGATGGATCTGGTATGCTTTCTTTATTAAGGCGGACTGTTGGAAAAGATTTTGATGCATTTTTTATACCTTTTTAGAACCAACAGATTAAATTCAGGTTTTCTTGGTGAATCAGTCTATGTATTCCTTATCCCCTTTGTGGGGAGGTGGGGGTGCGTTCTCGTAAACCTGGCAATGCAAACATGATTCTGATACACATTTAAAGGAACTTTTCAACAAAGATTTGAAGTCTCCCGCACATGTAATTGGAACGAGGTCTATAAGGTTCCAGATTCATGAAAGGGTGCGAACTGCTGATGATGTGTCAAATGATCATTAGACAATCATGATATCTTTACTATCGTCATCCCGTATCTTTTACAAGTATCGCAACTCCTGCCATTATCTCCTTTTCTCATCTCTTACATCTGACATTCACTCATCATTGTTGGCGCTCACGGCAGTCCAGATAACATCATTTATATGGACAGCTACTACCCTACTAAAATGTCTTTATCAGTCCCGTCGCTGATGACCAATTTGCAGTAATTAAGGTCTCGTTATATCGATAGGACTTTGATATTGGTCATCTCTACTGGTCAGACAGTCCAATTCAGGACATGACTCGAGGGTATTTTTCTGCAACAGGCTGGAGTAGTTGCTTTTTTCTTTATTGGTTCATGGTCATTATTGTATAATATCAATTCTCAAAAATATAAAAGATATTTCTAACAGGGCCTAAAACAAGAGACGCATAACCTCTTTGGATAACAAAGGAAATGAAATGAATGGAGTTTTACGTCATACTTTTTTGCATCTTTGGATAACAGAGAATGCTTTCAGCAATGATCGCTGTACAGAAAAACTGTCGTTGCATCTCATTGAATTTGTGGATCATCACGCGTTTGACGAAGAAAAAAATCCTGTTAATTTTCCAGTCCACCTGAAGTACTGAATCATACCATATCTACTTCAGAAATCAATGCCAAATAATCCTTTTCATGTTTTTATTTTCAACATTCCATTTTAAAATTTTATGATCGTTTAGAAAACGTCTCTCAAATTGCTTCCATTAGCAATAAACCACGAAATGCACTCAGATGTCACTCATAATAAACTATTGTACAAAATAAAACGCTTAGTAATTATTTATTACTTCATTATGCTAATTTCCTCTTAAGCTAATCTATCTAACAACATGCCATAATATTCATTGAGACTATTTCAACAAAAAAAAAACAAAATACACACCATGCATGTATTTTAAAAACTGGTTTTTAGCATAAATTTGTAGTTGACAAAAACTCAGGCCATAAACATTCATTAAGTGGAACAATAACTTGCTAAAAAAAAGGGGAGATTGAGTGCTGTTGAATATGTAGAAGTCACCTCAAATACACACTCATAACAAAAACTGTATAGACAGATTCCATTAATTCAATGCTTAATTTAGACACATCCAGTCCAAATTGATGCATTTAAAGGGTATTTCCTATTTTTCATAAATCATAAAATGTTGTTTTTGAATCAATATTATGGCATGTGTCTGGATAAACGATTTGGGGATTTGTTGTTAGTAATGATTGGTGGATCACTACCATGGAAAGGTACGAACTTGCAGAAAGTTTCCAATATTTTGAGCAAGAGGTCACCTTTGAATTTTAATCTTCCAATTTAAAAGTGATATTTTGACATTATTGTCACACACAATGGTGTAAGAGAGTGACCACAACACACTTGAGAAATAACTGGTGGACATTATATTTTGTGAATCATACGGGACCAGCCATTTAAGATTGTTAACAAGGTACTTGATAAATGACGCCATTCATCTTCAAATTTATTATGAGAGAAACGGCAATAATATTTAACATTAATGCAGAATTTTACAACTTTTATAACAGATGGGATGTAGGCCAGCAAGTCAAACAGATGTCACGGGCAAAAATTGTAAATCATGATTACAAATGGTTGTTTCTCACCTCAAACTTTGGGTACACCATAAACTAGTTGCCATAAATCTCACTTTTGTTTGTAGACCCCAGTCGGCTACATTTATTTGACAATAATATTTATCATTTGCTATCGTCTGCTTAACACTGTCTGATTTATTAAGGAAAATTACCTCCCTTAATTGCAATAGCTGACAACTTTGTTACATTACCTTATTTGGCATAGGTATCACCTGTTGTGAAAATTACTATTCTGAATGGACGACATTTTTTTAAGATTGGAATTTGATTTTTTTTTAAATAGAAAATGTTAATTGCTGTAGGACATGATCACCCTAAACCATTCTACTGCAGAACATTCCATGTATTTGAGTATTTTGGTCAATCACTAAGTGACACGAGTCACATTCTAAAAGTAACTCTTTCAATTTAGTTTGATTAAATGTTTACAACTTTATGTGTTCGAATGATGCTTGTGTTGTGTTTGTATAGACCCGTTTAGAATATAAACAGACACGGGGTTATAGTGTTAAGAGATTGGAGTGTCTTATTAAGCTTTTGCTTTTCAAACCTCTTCAAACTCATACAATAAACGCCGGGAGCAGATGCCCCCATATATAAACAGAAGCCGTTGTTCAGCCATGTTTTTCATGTGTCGTTTGGTCAGATTTTACATGATCATGTTGATTTAACATGAGTTGATTCTCGTCTGCACGCGTGGTAGTTTGACCCGAGGCGGTGTATCCTCTACCAGACGACAGTCTAGTGCCAATAGAAGGAAATTAAACTTAATATTAAGATGTCTTTTAATTTGTTAATATTACCCGCGGTGGTACCATTGTCTTATTATTTGATGACGTCCCTGACATTAACCGGAAGTGGCCCATTTCTTCCCTGAGAATAAAACCGGAAGTACCCTTTTTGTTCGAGATATCCTGATGAGAAAATGTGCAGTAATTATTTAACAAATACGACATTCAGTGTCGAAATACAAAAGTTGGTATATTGGCACAGTTAAATTGCAGTATTGTAAAACGTATAACTTTCTTAGAGTGTGGGGAAAGCAATTTCGGAATCTAAGTATTCTCTCTTTTGAAATATGTACTGTTTTGTCATGTAAAACGTATCTTATTATTTACTGTATTCAATGCAAAAATACTAATCTCTTCACAGGGCGAATCATGTCATTTGTAAAGATAAAAGCTAAAGGTTTCGAATTCAAAAGCCGGAGTCCAACCAGGAGATTTGCTATGATTCCGGAAAGATCACGACGGGTTAATAAAAATATATTGTATGTCGAAACGAAACATTAATGAAACAAAACTGTGTTAGGCTGTGTTTTGAACGAAAAATCTTGGAATTCGTTTGACATATAATCGATGCTGAATAAATTGAGTATTTGAAAGTGAATAAGCAATTACAGGTCCACTGGAAATATAGCAATTCCCATTGAAGTAATAGCAAGACGATATTATATTTAGATACAACTTTCTTTCATGATGGCGGCCTATGTTTAAGATAAATTTGGCCAAAGGATGTTCGAAAATCATTAATTGTAATGTTTCTCTTTATGTTAAAGCATGCCTGCTTAAGTTATACAAGAGGTAGATGATATTGTAACCTAGTTGTATTTTCTGGTATTTTCAGGACACTCGGGTGTAAATCAATTGGGTGGTGTATTTGTGAATGGAAGACCATTACCTGATTCAACTCGTCAAAGAATTGTCGAACTAGCTCATAGCGGAGCTCGACCTTGTGACATTTCCCGGATACTCCAAGTTTCCAACGGATGTGTTAGTAAAATCCTCGGACGTTATTATGAAACTGGGTCCATCAGACCACGTGCAATAGGAGGAAGCAAACCTCGTGTAGCGACTGGAGACGTGTGTTCTAAAGTTGCCCAATATAAAAGAGAATGTCCTTCAATATTTGCCTGGGAAATTCGTGATCGACTTTTGGCTGATGGCGTCTGCAATCAAGAAACTATTCCAAGTGTAAGTATCAATGTATTTTTGTCTCATGTCATTAACCCTTTTTCATTTTATTTCAACATTATTTTGCTTTTTCTCGTTCATGTTTTTATTTTTTTGTACAAATTTTAAACCATCTGTGTTATTTCGTCATTGTACATTTTTTTAGATAACAAAATGTTATAAGCTTCTATATAAATTTTAAAGTATGTCATAAAAATTATCAAAATAAGCGGAAAAATAAATCTTTTTTTTTTTTTACGGTTGGTTTGGGTTAAAAAAAAATAAAATGGTTAGGATAGTACGATATTTAAATAGTGGAAATATCGGTATTTTTCAGTACTCTGTAGTAGATAAACTTTAAATAGATCAGAAATAGATTCCATACAATAAAATTGATCAAGCGTGGTTCTTTTTTCCAAAGTTGATATCGATTCTGTAATATACTTTGTTTCTCATCCTTGCTAAACTTTTTATTATCACCAACTTACAACAGCTTGTTAACAGATAGGAAAAATGTGTTTTACAAATGAATTTTAATTGTTTTGAATATAAACAATTCTTTTTGAATGTAGGTATCACTATTGGCAACATTCTAAAATGAATTTATGAACGCCATAAATACTGAGCTTCTGAATTGTATTTTCCAATTGAAACAAAAGCAACTGTAAAATTGAGAGAGTACTTTGGAATTTTTTTCAAAGATTAAATGGGTTATAAACAATTTCTGTTTCAATGCTGACAGAAAAATGGTTTCCACTGCGCCAGATAATCGATTATTATGCCTTGGCTACCCTAATTTTGATCTACAAGAATGCAGATTTTAATTACATGATTTTGAACTATTCTATGTCTAAAATGGTAGAACCGATTTGTATTGCATACTTTGCAAAAAGAATATCATGATCTAAAAGCAGATTAGATTAAATTAAAATCTAATTTTATAGAGAAAACTTTTCAAAAACCGGACCGTCATCGAACCATTTAATAGCAAATAAGGTTCATTCATCACAGACAATATTTGATGGAAAACATTTAACACTATTTCGTCACAAAAGAATCTACGATCGATCGACAAGAAAAACTTTAGAATAGAAAGATTGATATACTTCTATATACTGTACAGGAGTAATTTTTGTGAATATAGTTAATTTTCTGTAAACCCATCTAATAATGACCGCAATTTTCTCACATCTTGATTTTTGCACATTACCAATTAGTGTTGGGTTCCCGTGGAGAAATACTACAAAATCAGGTTCGGCAAACTTGTAATTATAGAAAAATTACCTTGTGAAGTGGCGTAACCTACTATTTTCATAAACAAGTCTATCTTTTTAAGAAATTGAGGCAATACCGCTCCTTATTTTAGAAATCAAGTTGGTCTTTCAAACCTTTGTGATGGCTCCTAGTGAGCCTAATGAAAACGGTGTATCCCCAAATGGCACCCCTGTCGTGCAGATATACGAGTTTAAAAGCATCTACATGGCTGATTTGCATTCAACGGTAAGATCAAAGGAAGAAAACAATAGGTAAAATATGTATAGTGAATAGAATGAAAAGGATATTATACTTAAGATGTTTAATAGTGAAATAACTTAGCCCCTATTTAACTATAGTTTATGAAGGCTTGATGATATCCGGGGCCCATTAAAACACCCAAAGTAAGACAGGGATTTCTGAGACCCTATTTCAAGGATTATATTTGTAAATCCTACATTTACTTCATAGGTCATGGGTAGGTCATATACTAATTTAGGTATTGTAATATATAAATATATATCATAACATAGTACCAATTAAGTACGTACGTGACCCTAGACGGCCAAAGTTAGACCAAATACGCTTCGTTAATCATAATCGGCTTTAACGAAAGGGTCAGCATATCCTGCCCTGATTGCAATAAAAAATAGGATAATACCAATTATACTTATGCGAATATTGTTATACAAATATATGCAATATATCTTTAAGCATATAAATGATAGTATCGTCCAAAACAGATATTGGCCCCATATTTCTAAGGTGTGAAAAAAGTAGGTCATATTCTAGCCTTATTTTTATGAAATCATATTTTTATATGTACACAATTGATTTAAGACACAGCTCAAATACAATTCGACTCCCATAAAAACACCATTAATGGGTCTTAAGATGGGTTCACACGAGGACAATAAAGTATTTATGATTTATTTTAATGGCTAGATTATTTTTTATTTTCTATTCACGACTCTATAATGTTTGTTTACATCTATTTTATTGGTGTAGACATGGAATAGCTGAAATTCCAATATATTTCAATCACTTTGGACTGAATAAACACAAGAATGACGTAAAAACTCCAAATATTCTAAGCTGAGGAATGATTAAAATTGAGCGGTTCATGGATTTGAATAATTTTGAATCCCAGACATTCATGATAAATCAATTTCAATATTCTTTATAACTGTAATGTAACCCGTGTGTTTGATTGTCGGGCTTTTCTTAAAATAGTTTTTAAGTAACTCAAAGATGATTCCTTCCACAAAAGTAGCGTTCACTGCATGTAGGAGAGATATTACAGCACTGTTGGAATTAATAAATGACGACCTAAATAAGGGAATAAATGAATGTTTTGAATTTCTCTCCTGTATTCTGTGTACTTTGAAATTTGTATACGCCATATATATCGAGTAACAATAAATGTTCCAAACGATGGATATCTGAAAAATATCAAATATACTTAAGCCTATGTTTTGGCACAGTTTTACTTCGGGGGTCACTTCCGGTTTGCGGAATTTCTTAAAATCATCATTAAACTAAAGCGAGCGGTGAGATTGAGAATTTCACAAGAAATCATTGAAAAACATTTCAAATACGTGAAAGGGCATTTTTTAGTCATATACTTCAAACATCCATCAAAAACCTTTCGAACTTAATTAAATTTTCATTAATGAGATTAGCTAGAAAACCCCTTTACCGTTATTCCTCTTGTAGTAAATAAGAATAATTAATACAGATGATTAATATTAATTCTCTAGGCTGACTTGTATTGATGTCATTAGTTTGTCAATCACAATCTACTATACACATTGATGTCCCGAATTAGAATCAATGCCAATTACTCAAATCGGTGTATGTATATCGAGTCGATCGTGGACAATTTGAAAACGATTTTGTAATATGGGTGTTGTTTCATTTCTTTAATGAGATAACCAAATTCTAGTTTGAAATATTATTTTCTAACGAATGTCAAAAGTCGATTTGTATATTGGAATAAATGCGTATATCATCGTTTCATGGGCATTCTTAAAGTCCGGACGAGTACGTCTCCATGGGAATTTTAGATTCGCTGCTTTGAAACAGTCCATTGAATGCGTGATTAAAAATGCAAGCATCTGTATTGTATTAATGGTTTTGAAATAGGTCCGTCCAACTTCCGGTTTCTCTTTGTACATAGCATTCCGGGGTAGTTACAACAAGAAAATCAATAAAGTTAAACCCCTAGAACATCTGCTTATAAACCTCGAAATTGATTAATTAATAACTCCACCAGTTTCTATGAGTTTCAATAAGATTATGACTAAATAAACCACGGTTCCTGTATTGCACAGCTTAAGAACAAATTAGAAATTGGCTTAACGCGGCGTGCCAGAAAATCAGGCGATTTAGCGAATAAGGGAATTCTACGTTCTTTTATTATTGCCAAGCTTAATTCATGGCACAAAATCCTGCTACTTCAAGACATAGATTTGATGAGGCAGGTAAATTTAATTACTGGAAGAATCTTCGCTCAATTTCTTATAGCCTGTTTCAAGTGGAGGGAATTAGTTGCGGGTCACTTCGCTGTCGTGTTCATCAAATGAGGTGCCTGCTTATTACTAGGAGCTCTGATTCATAAATCCGTGTAACCAGCAGAAAGAGAATTTTTATTATATCTTTAGGCGAAATGAAATGGAATACAATATTAAATAATTGCTTCAAAATGATTTTTTACCGCAATAAAGGACGCCATCTTGAAAGTTAACAGGACCGCAGCATACATCTCTTTTGTCTGTTATAATGTTCTTATCTTTCTTAGTAAGATTAAATTTAATAAGATGCTTAATTTGGTTAGAAAATTAATTAAAATCAAAGAAACCGCAATTAATTTTTGGTTTTCTTATGTTTCACATCAGTGAACAATAAAAAAATTTTGAGAATTGACATCTGCTTGAATTTCTCAAAAAAAAAAATGAAAAAAGAAAAGAAAATAGAAGTGAGCATGTACCCAAATCGCTGTATAAGAGGTCTTCAAGTGTTTAATTTTCTCACCTCCATTTTCAGTTTATAAAATCAATAAACCATAACTAGTACAAACAAAGTATAAACTTAAGGAAGTTTATTGAAATCAATTTAAAATTAATTTACTCTGAAATATCTGCTGACTTTCTTTAATCATATTTCATTCATATATTTCGGCAACTATTTTCATACGAAAATATTTCAATTATTTTCATTTCAATAATTAATTTGCACGTGTTGAATGTGACATTTTTACCCAATGAAAATCCAAGATATTGTTCTTTATGATTAATGAGTTTTTAATGGATTCGTACTCAAAATTTTTATTCTTCCATTCGATTACGAGGTTTTCATACTCCACTTTAACCTTTTCACTTGTTGAATGTCTATAGTATATTGACGAATTGTAGAGATATACTCTTCGAGTATTTTGTTAGTTCAGGCTATTCAAACGAATATCGATTTTTGTGAACTTTTTGACAGACAAAGCTAATGAAACAGTAAAACTACTAAAGCTTCAAAGGGTATATGCGATTATACACTTCATAATGTATTGATTGTTGGCAGGCTAGAATTTATAAAAAAAATAATATTGAACTGAATATAACCTTCATGCATTCCATTTAGTAGTACGCGTACAATTTACGTTCTGTGCGTTTCACTGTAAAGTTAAAGGCATACAAGAGCTGTAAGAGCTAGAATGTCGTTTTAGCGAAGTTATCTTTTCTGCACTTATCATATTCGGAATAAAAAAAAAAACAATAACCTTGCTGAATAACAGTATATGTTTTAGTTCAATCACGTTGCCGAAGGCGTGTTACTACATTTCCAGACCTTTTAGCTGTTAGAATAGGAATTCACACTTTTTCCTAGCGTGTTTTCCCGTTCAAACGTGTTTATCTTAGGTAGAAGTTGTCAGTCTATCTTATTGTTTAGGGAATTGGAATTTTTCAAAGCGCCGCCTAGACCAATGATTCACACTTTCCTAAATCACTTTAAACTTTCTTCGACTTGCACCTTCTGAAATATTAATTAATCCTTAGCACATCTGCGACGATTTTTCTCCCAAAATCAAATTCCGTACGCCTGATCGCCCTGATTTCGTCCATGACTGAACAGTTCCTAAAGTTAGGTTCTCATTTGCATGGGAAGCTCTTTGTGCCAACTGTACGAGATGTTCATCTATTTTGCCTTTATTCTTCCAATCGTTCATTTAATAAGCCAACCAATTTATTAAATTGTAAAAGCGACCATTTTGTCAGTACTTTGCTGTCTCTATCGAGGCATTGTTTTCCGCTAGGATGAGCAACGAATTGTTCTACGACTCGAATGGACATATTTAGCACTAAGAGGTCGTGAGGGAGGAACTTCCCGGAACTGTCTTCGTCTTATATTTAGTTATTTAATAAGTTTCAGACCTCGTCAGTTCAACTAATTCTCTAGCAATGGGATAAAGTGTAATGAAGCTTAATGATTGTTCGCTTAATTGTTCTAATTGAAAACTGTGTGAATATTAGTATGCACTCTGGTACTTTAGTTTGAGACCTATTTCACAACAATGTATCGGGTCTTACGTTCTTAATTCAAGCATTAACTTCAAGATTTCAAAGCAGAAGAATGGTGTACTGTTGATTATCTTATACTACAGATTGAATTTTTGTTTTTGAAGCTTAATATTGGGTTACCTCACATTCTCTAAAAATTTGTCTTCTGGCCATTTGACTGATTTAAGTGTTTAGCGTAGCAATTGAGCTTTTCTGAATATCAAACCATATAACCCGTCATATATGTAACGTCTGTATTCATTTCATTTGTAACGCCAAATCCCAACAGACACAGAATTGGCTTAAAACCATTAGACGCAGTTTCGTAATATTATGGACAAGGCGTATTTATTCCATTAAGTTGGCTTTTTTACTCGGAAAATATGACAATTAATGCCAGCTTTAGTTTCGTATTTGTTTGAAGAGTTAGAAACAAAACATTCGAGAGAAAACTAAAATCAATTCCACCAATCAAAACTCAAGGAATAAAAAGATTGCTATTAATTTCTAGTTATTAAAATGTTCCATCAAATAAAAGACTACAAACAATCAATGATTGACGGGCGGACAACTCTTGTCATTGTAAATGGAAACAAAATTACGAAACTAATGCTTAATAATTTTACATGGTAAAAGATCAAGGAGATTCAACCCTAAGTTTATTTGATGCTTGAAAAAACAAACGTATTAAAACGTATGAAAAGTCTCATTATGTGTCACCTCTGACAAAAAATTGACAGGAACAGTGCTTTGTAGAATCGACATGCAGGTGCATGTTCAGTTTAAAGAAAAGGAAACATTTTGACGACACGTTTTTACTATTTGTTGACTTATTAATTCTTAGCTTCATGAATTTGAAATTGAATAAAGCTTTAACTAATATTTGACATGCATTACAAATGAAGTGAAAATTCACAAAACAAACGACATTTTAACATATTCATTTTCCTGTCAAAATTCAAGCAAATATCCTTTACAGATTTTTTTTGTCTTTGAGATGAAACAAGAAAAATGTCAGTAATTCTAAAGAAAGTTCTGACGTATTTTTCATAATTGTATAATATTTATGCGACGTCACCGTCATGATTTTCTGCGTTACTAGTTTTAAATTAACTGCGAGACTGTTATTGTTTTCAACTTTTATACTCGTTGATTAAAATCGTATTTTATGACCTCATAAATACAGCAGAAAACTTTTTGAGAAAAAAAATTCAATTAATCCACGATGACGTTTTTTTATCTTTTGTATGAATAAATCTATTTTTGTATTTCTTTACTTTATTTCTCGATTATTACGAGTTATTATGCAATGTGAAGTTTGTTTTTCGCTTTCCAAATGTTCTTGTGATTTTATTTCTATTATACGTTACTGTTTGTATTTGTCTTATATCATAAATATTGATAATAAACAGTTGTATTCCATTAAAAACAATAAAGATCTTACTTAACCTTTAACAATTAAGAAAACAACAGAGTTGTTAATGAAGGAATAGTTACTTAGGGTGGAAAAAAATATTTTAGAAAAAATCCGAAATTATTTTGATTGTTGCTTGTCAACAGAAACACTGCCAAATATTTTATGTTAGGAAAATTTTCATATCCATAATCGTTGTAGGCCAATATGCCTCAGAGAACATCGTACAACGTTCAACAAGTCTAAAATTAATGAAATGACACTTTTCCAGAAAGATTATCCACGATGTTTACTTTATCTGAACCTTTCAGAATTTCGACAAGATTTTGACAGTTTGATGTCCTTCGTTTTGACCTTCGTAATCCTGCCTTTTAAACCACATCTTCATTTCGTCTTTTCATTAAAGCCAGGATTAGTCTTTTAGTACCCACTCTAATGAAGTGTTTTGGCCCCAGGAGGGAAATGGTAGAATAGTAGCGGTTTAAAAACGGCACCCTAGCGAAAATTAAAAAGTGTCTGAGCAATTACAAAGCATAGAATTTGATGATGAAAATATTGACTTTTATTGAGCTTGAAAAATATTAAAATAATTTATGAAACCACAAAAATTAAGTTTAGAAACGATACTAATCATTTTGAAGGCGATTTAAAACCTCGATGGCTTGCGGTTAATTAATGAAACCTCTTCTAAATGACATTCGACGGCTCTACTATGACTCTAATAAAACAAACGATGGAGATAGTTGATTCATTATTTCGCAACTTGCTGGCTATAAATGTTGATTAATTCTTAATGTTTGCTTTTGAGTGTTCCTCGTGTGGTTTTATTAACCATGTTATTTACTGAAAACTATCAAACATTGTAGAAATGAGTTCAAAGGACTTCGCATTATCTGAAAACTGATAAATGAAATATTGTTTTATGATTCTATGATTGTAAGAAGAGAGAGAGCACTAATAGCAATTCATTATTATAACAAATATATGTAACATTAAACACTTCTCGCATGTTCTGAATTCATTCGGTCAAATCTTAATTTCAAGCCTCTGAAAATGGATTTGTAAATTTAGAAGCTATTGAGGGGATAATCTTGCAGGTCTTCAAGAATATAACATATTTTTTTAATGAATTGCAGTTTTGTATTTATCGATCCTTGTTAGCGATCAGCTAAGGTCCAAAACCGGCTTCAAAACAATGACGTCTTGTACCTGTCCGAAATGTGTCAAAATATAAAAAATGAAGAAAAAAATAAATGTAGACAATTTTATATATGGTTAATAAGACTATGATATATGGAGTATTTCATCTATTACTCGACTTGAAATCTGACATCTGAACTATATAAAATATGTTAAATCATAAATCCATCCTTATTTTGTCACTTGATATCACTCTGTAACTGGCAGTTAATTACTTTCTTTTACTTACTTTTTTTCTTGTTATCTCTTTCCTTAGTCACCTTCGATACGAATAGTTCTGGGGTTTTTTCATCGAGTAAGACACTTTGTTGAAGCGCAATCATCATGTACAAAATACATTTTTAAGAAGCATCTTTTAGTCGACAGAGTCGCACTGTGACAAAATATGTTCGGAAAGTGTGAGCAACACTGTATCGGTGGAGACTCGAAACGCTACTCATTTTTAATGGAGCTCAAATTTAGTCTTTAAGTCGTAGTGGTTGTCTAAATACTGTGTAAATCCTGCGACCGGAAGTATCCTAAGCATCGTATTTCCAAAGTTTGCAATTGTTCTGTTTCGTGAAACCAGATTTTAATTACAAAAACGTTGTCTACTTTCAGGTCTCATCCATCAATCGAGTTCTACGAAATCTTACATGTGATAATCAGAAGATAATGGGTCAAGGGTCAATGTATGATAAATTAGGATTATTAAACGGACAAAGTTGGCCTCGACCCAATCCTTGGTACTCTACTGGTATGTCTATGGGCGGTTTAGGCCATCCTGGTGGTTATCCTACTCCAACTCATCCTAGTAGTGGCATGATGATGGAGAAGAAATTGAAATGTAAGTTTCCATTTTACTCTCCAAGGATTGTGAGATCTGTTAAATAACGGTTGGTTGTGACCAACACATTAGTGCTTTTTTATACCACAAAGTGTGTCCGTTTTAATCATAATTATTGCGACCGTTTGACTATAACAACTTTCAATACCCGCCTACAATTCTAAATTACTGCATTAGAGACTACAATTTTCATTCAAAACAAATGTTACTGAAATAATTGTTTGCGTCATTTGAATAGCTTTGGCAACTCCACAACATAAAAAACGTAAGAAAGTAATAAACTTTGTACTTGGTCCTCCTAAGATTAAATACCACACGAATAACATTAAATATATTGAAATTGGCATGAGGTTATATTCACACATGTTGCCATGCCAAGCAATAAATTTTATAGACTTTCAATAATCCAATAGAACTTCAAAGATCTCACAATATTAGTTTTCTTTTGATTTTAAATTAGATTAGCGAACATAAATAAAAGGTACTCGGTTCGTTTTGTCTTTAAAATGAATTCCGATACGTAGTTAACCGTCAGATAATGTGATGATCCAATTGCAGTAATTCCCTTTTAAGATCATTAGCATTCAATTAGGTTACAAAAAGAACATTCGATGTCGGAAATGGTTGACTTCCGGTTTGTTTTCAGCAGACGTCGAATAACCGGAAGTTGAGTGCAAAGTATGATTCCGTCATTTTGAAGATTCAAACTCTCGGTTCTAAGATATTCTTATAATGTGATGTCTCGCCGTAAAAATCAGCAATATCTTACAAAATGTCTCTTGAATTTTAATCAAAAGCGACGAAATGTAGTAAACTGAGATTTTGGCGTAAAAAGCAACATCTAAACGACACTCTATTAAGACCTTTGCAAAACACTGAACAACCGGCTTTTGAATAAAACAACAATCGTGTATTTTTGTATTGGAGTCGAATGAGGTTTGAAGTGGAGAGTGAGAACCTCGACCATTGTTGTTCGTCGTCAGTATGTCTGGCTGACTATTCATTCCGTCCTCCTAATCCACACTCATATCAATAGGAATGTAAAAAGAGCGATTATAAGAGCGGATTTTAAGTAGCTTTCTACCGTATTTCAATACACCTTGACTTTGACCAAACTATCGACTCATTGTTGGAAAATATAAATATGTTTAGTTTCTTTTAACACCTAATCGTTCATATCAATTGAATAGCACTCAAAACAAGAACAACAACGTCCGTCCGCTATTTCATACAGTAAGACGGCTTATTTGCAAAAAAGCAACGCTTTTTTTCTATAGCCATTCATCTATAATGACCCTCGCGACATTTAGAACTTATTCTTTTAGAGTAATGTTATGGAAAATGACGAATATCAAGTTTAACGACATTTCGAAAAGCGATTGAAAGTGATCGAAAATGGTTGTCTATTGTGTACGTAGAGCGTTACAGAGTGCAAATCTGTTTTCAAATCATATGTTGATTTATGACTTTTGATTCTTATCCTGTTCTTTTCTCCGTTAACGTTTTGTAAGATGTCTTTAATCTCTACATAAGAGATAGAGGCGACCATAATAGAGTTGTGAGGCCATTCGGTGGAATAGCTCATTTATATCATATCTCTTTATTCCGTCCAACTATTGTTCCGTTTTTTACGAGACCGTAACGTAAGTGATTTATGTGTATCTGAACGACAGCACTTTACGAAACCATTTCCGCTCGAGACGCAAGGTATGTTAAGTACACCGATAATTTTTAAAAGGGTTGACGCTTGTCTCGTTCAATACGACTTCTGCTCTGTGGTTAGTGCGCTATCAGATGCATTAAGATCTCATGTTAAAGGAAATATCGTCTCTTCTCATGATTTAAGAATATTGCATGGTTATCAGCGAGATTTAATGTGAACTTCTAGTCTTTTTTTGAAAATTTATCATTTTTTCTAATAGGCAATAAATATTTTTCAATTATGTTGAATCGTATAGTAAAAATGAACGTAGCGTACGAAAGATGGATACATTGTCAATATATACATTGCTGTTTTATATGTAATATATTCGCAAAACATAAGTTTATTTGTTTGCGAGCCATAAGAAATTGATTTTGAAAAGATCTATTCCGAAATGTAGCAGCTTGCCCATCAAAGATGGTTAATTTGGCTGAGTAATTTATTCGCTATAAGATTATCACGCGTTAACACCTTGAGGGTTGATTCTTGGGATCCAAATTTCCATAGTTTTCCACATTAATTTGTGGATGTTTGGCTATTTAGAACACCACGAAGATGACTAAAAGGTACATGATCGAAAAATACTTTCGGTCCATAATAAATACTGTTCACAATTTTATCACAAATCATATATATCAATGCGGAACGAGTGAAATGGTTATTTTCCTAGCTCTTGCAATCATAAAAATACACGTCATTATACGTAAAAATTGTATCGTGCAGGTAGCCTATTAGTGCTCTATTTTTCTTCTTAGTAATTTATTTGTCATTGAAGACCTCTCTTTATACTGATAACTCTCTTGTCATTATTGGTTGATTGTTGGGAAACGGTATGGGGGATGTCGACAGTAACATATCCATTATGGACATCAATAATCCAGTCGTGTGCTTTCGATAAGCTTAAGATTGATATGAAAAAATCATATCATATCTTCATACCAAAAAGCATAATTCTAATGCTAACGTTTTTGATAATATTGAGCAGCTATATTTTTCATGATCTAGAATATATAAAATTTGTTTCAATTCTGAAACATTGTATGCTTACACAGGTCGATTTGGACAAGAAATGATCGTTATCAGGCAATTACTGAGGCTAAAACCAATGCCTGAAACAAATTGGCCGAATATTGGGTTTCGCGTTACACCATTTTTCTAAATTAGTTAGAGGAACCAAACCGTTATAAGCAATTATTTATTTAACACGTATAAGTATTTGGTATTAAAATTGAAAATAAACATATCGCAGTGCATATCTAACGTTTATATCTTTGATGCAGGCCATTCTGAAATCTGCGGCTAGTTAAATTGGGTATTTAATATTGTCCATGAAAACTCAGCAAAATTACTTGTCAGCTATTTATTTCTCCTATATTTTAATTTATTTCGTCCATGTTCTTAATTAATTTGGTTAATCTACTCGTACACAAGTCTTCAACAGTCAGATATCACGTGATTATGACATTACCGGATTAGGCATTACACGTGCGTCCGAGCATTAAAGAAAATTGTCGTCCATGCAATTCAATCATGAGTTGTTTAATTTACGCCACAACACACAATACACAAACCACAGCCTTCCTCATATTGACCCTTATGATGTATCTTCATGTCCGCAAGCCAAATATAGTTACATGCACGTGCACAGAGTAAATTGGTCGCTTAAGTATTCGTTGCGTTAATTATAAGGCTTAATTGCTTCTTGTTGACGACTTACGCCTTGATTTCATTGCTGACCTTCAATGACCTATGTGACGTGATTGTTCAAATTTAATTCAGAAAATGTCACAAATTTTGAAGGCCCCACATGCAATTCGTGACAGTTCTTATATTACTACACAAATACACATAACAATTTGTCAATCAGATATCAAATAACAAAAAACAAGGGTGGTTGCAATTTTAATGCACTGAGTTCACGTGAAAACCATTGATAGAAAAATCCCTATAATTGGATTCCTTTCGTGTAGCTGTGTTATTGTACTGTCATCGGAAACTATCATTAAGTTGCACAACTTATAGTTTAATTGGCCAATTGTAAGAGATACTGAAACTAAATATGGCGGCCACAATTACTGATATAAAAGAGCGTTGAATTAACTAGGCTGTAATAGCTCAATAATTAAAGACTACCTTTCAACATAATCACCCCCTTCTTCTTGTTACAGACAACGAAAATGGCGGCGGGGGATCGCCCGGAAGTCCTAGTGATGGACCGAAGAATGGTGAGACGGATGAACAAATGAGAATGAGACTAAAACGAAAATTACAGAGAAACAGAACATCATTCACCGCTTCACAAATAGAATCTTTAGAAAAAGGTAAGCTTTTGTCATTGTATCATTGTACATACACAGAATTTGCAAAGCATCGTCAAATTCATCCTGACTAAGCCAAAGAATAAAAGGAAGGGAGATAATTCATTGCTACAAATTCAAATTTTTCTTTCCAGAATTTGAACGAACCCATTATCCAGACGTTTTTGCCAGAGAACGTTTAGCTCAAAAAATAGATTTACCGGAAGCCCGCATCCAAGTGTGGTTTTCAAATAGGAGAGCAAAATGGAGACGTGAGGAAAAATTACGCAGTCAAAGACGAGAAGTTGTCAATGGAGCTACCAGATTACCCATCAACAGTAGTTTTACTAATAATATGTACCCTTCCATTCATCAACCCATAGCTTCCATGACAGAAACATATAGGTACGTGGAAGCCATTTTGAAATTGCATTGATCTTGACCATGTAGATTGAAGCATACAACTGCCATTTTTGTTTTAAAAACTGCTACTATTAAATTGACGATTTATCTATTGGATACTTCTAGCCTCATGTAAACTCAGAAGAAAGGGTTTAATGAACATTATGTTATTTTTTCAGTTCCATTCCGCAAGTTCCTAGTTATTCATTCTCAAACTCTTTTGCAACCAATCCAGCATGCCTTCAATCATCTAGTTCCGGTTCCTATTCGTGTATGCTGCCAGGTAAGAATCTTTGGCCATCTACTGTTAGCATGACCCTATCGACCTATAATTGACCAAAGGATTTCTGATGGACATGCAACTATTTCAGAAGAACAGACAACGAAATTCAAGTTTTATACTATAGAATTCGTATGATAAATTCTGATAAAATAAAATAAGGCAGAAAAATTCTCCAATCCATTGTTTAAACGAAGTGAGGTCACTTGTTATGTTATATTAAATAACATAGCTTATGATACTGTGTTATAAATTGCATAAAATACTGCATATGATAATTTATTTTAGAAGAAAAGTTCAGTTTATATAATGAATATAAAAGGGGGTGGCCAAAATTTACTATTTCTTAATTTGACATTGATTGATTGCACTTAGAGAATTGTTAGTTTGTTTTTCTTGTTTCCCGTGTGAATAATAAAAAAAACTACTGAATATATATTCTCATAATGTAACTTAACTTAACATGAACTTAGACTATTCTGAAATTTTGCAATTCTTACAATCACCTTATGCAGTGATATATTAAGTAAATACCTATCCTCAACCGTAAGATTCGTGTATATGCATTTAATCTTGTTATCATTTTAAGTGTATAAACCACACTGAATATTGAAGCCAGTGCTTGTAGTAAGTGGTTGAAGTCCTCCCTCATACAATGCGCTAATAAGTCATCCATGTCTAATGCCATCCAATTGTTCTTTTCCAGATTACTCGTCTCGCAATTATGATGCTTTATCACTCAGCAACTATTCTCGACCAACATGTAACCCTAGCAACAGTCACATGCCCAGTCATATGAATAGCAATTCTGCCTCAACTGGTAAGTCCTAGAAACCTTTTCTTCTGTCATTCATTCATCGGTAGAATTTATTCGTCCACTTCCTGCAGTAATCATAGACCGTCTGGCTGTTCACTCAAGGAGATGATGAGTCTGTCTGGTACTACTATAATACTAATTCAGACTTGAAAGGTTAATATAAGTAAATTTGGTGTCGATTTTCCAAGACGAGAGACTCTACATTAAATTATTAGCGAGTGCTTCAATGTTGTTGTCCTAAATGACTGCGTACTTGTATACGTTCACAAGAATCTTTACTTAGTTTTTTGTTCCTTTGCAACAGTATTGAGATGATCTCAGGTTTCCAATCTCCGTCGAGCTTTGACACAGAGTAATCGCCCCAGAAGGCTCTAAATACAAGGCAATCATAATTTGCCTTCGCAGCTGAAGATGAACGATGACCTTCATGTATATGACCAGAAAATGACTTGAAATCCACAATTTATATGGCAATAAAAATAAGCCTAGTATCAGACTGTTTAATTCTAATTAATGAGTTATGTCGACAATAAACAAAAACTATCTGTAAAATACCAGTTTTATATACACGACAATCAATTTGTTTGTCTGATAAGTACAAATATACAATACGATGATTGCGAGAAAAACGCAATGAAACGATCTCATTCAGCCCTAGTTTTAATAGTACAAATGGGTGCAACAAATCCTGTATGATTCAAAAGCTTCGTAGCGATCGCCTTTATTATGAGATCCCATGCCTGTCTGTTCGTTTATTACCATTTGGATTAAGTTCAGGAACTGATTGTCGTATGTTTTACCAGATGAAAATTGCTGGAATGCTCTGTTAAAAAAAAACTCTGTTATAGGACGGATGACCACATAATTGAAATGGTCAATCATGCTATATTCCAAAGCAAAGTTGCTGGAATGCTCTTTTGGGAAATGCCTTCCACCTTAAAGACCCAAAGGTTTAGAAAGAAATCGGTTAAAATGTGTAATGGGGAAAGGATAGTTTGACAGTTCCTAACTCTGTGCGTGTTACTGTCAGTGTCACCTTAGTTTTGAAAAGTTGGGAATAATTAGTAATATGTTAAAACAAGAAAAATGACATCAAACTGACGTTGTTATGATACAAAGGTGGCAAAGAACATGACCGATTAGAACGTGAAAAAATGTAGCCGAATCAAAAATTTTGACACTTAAAAATAGGGAGTGTGATGAGTTAATCCAGGATATAAATGGAAAGGTTGTACAACACAATCAAATTTTCTATGAAAAAAAACATGACACTAAGAGAGAACATGCTTGAATTTCGAATCGAATCTTAGATTATGTGTAAGCAAAATATGACTGCTAAAGCGAGAAGGTTTTAACCCACCCACCCACATTTCGGAAAACGGGGGCACCTTAGTAACGAAATCAATAGTTTTGCTAAGGCCAATTTCATGATAGTTTAGCATGGAAACCTCCTAATATATGTAAAGTACATAATAGGGACCTTTTAGTTAAATTTGACCGCGTCAAAGCTTACGACCAGCTTGAAAACAAATGGCGGAGACAATCTTAGTATATCCTGTCGCTAACTAAAACCTGTCTTGTCACCTTTAGATCCTAGTATTATGTCACTGTCGTATCAAAGATGACATTGACAGTGTCAACGCTGTGTCAGTTTCTATATCTTAAAGAAGCGTTCTGCTCAGTTAAGCTATCTACTTGCTTTTGTATCCTTAACTGCCTATGTATTGATCTCATAAATTTTCTTTTCTATTTGCAGGTCTCATCTCACCGGGAGTTTCGGTACCAATACAAGTACCAGGTGGAGCTGCACAGGAAATGAGCACACATCACATGACATCCATGACGTCACAGTATTGGCCTAGGATTCAGTGATGCCCGGAATAAACTGCAATATTGACTCTTTTTTTAATCCTATATCTTATATAAAGGGAGATGGTTCAATGTCTCGAAGAGAAAGAATGCTCAGGGTGATCGGAAACTTTATGGTCTCTTACGAGGCACATATACGAGGCTACATCGTTAAACCGAATGAGATTATCCAGACCATTTAGCCTAACTGCTTTTTGCGGCTTTGGCGATCGAACATCATATCATTATGGGTTAGCATATCATCAAAAATTAGCAATTTAATTGAATATATGCGTGTGTTATATAATGCAACATGCACCATTCTTGATCATTGGTAGGTGCCGTATTAGTAGCGGAAGTGTGACGTCATCAAATTCGCGACTTGAATGAAGTGAGAGAGAATTTAGCGACATTTTAGTGTACAATTAAACAATATTCAAAGTGCTCAATTGAATAAGTTATGTATAAGTGCTCGTGGTAGATGCTGTAATAAACAACTCACAGGAACAAATTAATATATTTATGAACGAATTAATAATTCCAAGGCAGCACAATCATTCATAAGACAAATCAAAATGGGAGAAGTGTTATAAGGTGATTGCGGGTGCTTAATTTCTCAACATTTAAGATGGAGGAAAATGTGCAATCAAAGACAATAGTATAAATATTATTATATATAAATAAATGTTATTAATTAAATATTATGTAGCTGTCATTTTCTTTTTTTATATATATTTTCAAATGTGTGTAACAGTTGAGATTTGCAAAAATCTTTACTAAAACTTCAATTTATATGTATATTTTCGTTTCGTAACCTTAACGTCGATTTCGTACAATTTATGGAATATTATTTAAAATTTGAAACGAACTATTACAGAATTTCTTTAAAATGTTCATTCTTTTTAAGCGGGTTACAAACCTAATGATATTACTAACTTTGAACAAATAAATTAATCGTATTACCTTATCTTTTGTTTTCATATTATAACATTTAAAGAACTTAGAAATGGGAATTGTACTCTGAGAAAATGACACGGAGGTTTGCATTTCACTTTTCTTGCCTTCATTGGACTGTAAAGACAGGCAATTGTGTGGTCAAATAGTCATTTTGACGGCGGCATAAGTATTTTTAGAATCCCAACTGCAGTGGTATTACTAACATGTACAGCACGTATGACATTTGGCTTCAGTCTTCAGTCCCATCCAAACAACTAGAAATTTTACCATGTAAGCCCTCTATACCTGCGCTGAAAGCTACTATCTAGTTTCAATTCCAGACCTTTAGGCTAGCAAGGTAAACCATTTAATCGTCAAAGACGTACATATTGCGCAACTTTCCTGGAGATGATGAACCATGTGCCTTAGATGCAGTGCAACACATCTAGGAATACAAAACAACCTCGGCCACCCATCGCGAGCAAGCACGCTCTTGTGAAGCCATCTAATATCTAGATTCTAGATATGATATAGTATAGGCCTTATCTGGTAAACTTACGAAAAAATCAAAGCTATAAAAGCGTTTTCTGATTGGTATCGTGTTTTCATCAGAAGTTCCATAAGCATAAGTGCGACTATTGAAAATAGTGATATGATTAGAGATAACAAATCAATTAAGAGATCTATAGTACATACATTTCAAGTGTGGTAGCATGTGCAATAACATATGTTGCATTGTTTCGCTTTACGCGCAATGAGCTAAGACCCTCTATTATCTAATATTTTTAATTCAGTATGCTTTAAATTAAATGGGGCTTGACGTCATACTTTTCTAAACATATTCAGGCTAATGTTGACGGCCAACGACATGCAGTATGCAATAAGGCATGTCTTTGTTAGGCATCGACCTACTATCAGGCACGTAGCTAGACTTGAGCGCTAGGAGTGGCAAGTGATATATCCAAAGGGGCACTGATTTAATGTATTTGGTTGTAGTAATTGGTGGGTTTGTCAGAATTTTTTCAGGGGGGCAATCAATTTTTCTCCCCCCCCCCCCTTTCAGCCTGTAGCTATGGGCCTGCCTACTATATACCGTTAAGTGATCTTTAACGTGCCTCGCTTGTAGCACATGAGGTCTCGGTTTACTGTCCCGTCAGAACAAGGACACGCTTTCCCCCTCATTCAGAATTCCAATCCCTCCCACTGTGCATCAATGACAGGAGGAAACGGTATGAAAAATCCGAAATAATATTTCCAGTATGCTTTAAGCAGACCAATCTTAAACCTTTTTCCGTTTTTAAAAAAAAGTCGTATTTTGCCAATAGCTTTTAAGCAATGCAATCTATAGTAGTTTTCAATATTTTTGGATAACATTAAACTCAACGAAAATCTATAAGACTCTTTATTTATTTAATACATTATTATGTTTTACAACAATAGAGCGATTGGTGATAAAATTATATCTCAAGTTTTCATTGTTATGACAAAAACGCTTCAAACCTATCTGAATTAGATCCTATTATTAATTGATATTTCTATAAAGTCTTATTTCTAAAGATGAAAAATTATCGATACCAAAGGTATTCAAATCCTTAAAGATACTAGCATTTATAATTCATTTTGAGATGTGGAAGAAGACATAAGGGTTATATAATATTTTCGAATTATTGTTGGTACCTTTTTGTATTTCCATATTATCTTTCCCCATGGGTTTCTTCGTTTTCTCACCAGCAGCGTTGACATATTTTTCAGATATTTTTCAAGTGTCAAAAAGTCAAAAAAGTAGGGCTTATCTCAAGAGAGTTCTTCACGAATTGCTTTTCGTTTTACCAAGTTTATCTAATCTCACCTACTATGAAAATTCATTATCACTGGTCGGTTCATCCTGTGGTTTGACTCACTCATCCTATACTGCTGATGTTTCGTCTATGGTGACATCTTGTTATTTTGGGCATACGCTATGGAGGATTTGTCCTATTATTTCAGAAAGTGATCAATATGATGTCAATTAGAGTGGCTTTAGTATATATAAACTCAAGCTAGAGGAGAGGGTATCGGGGACCAGAAAACTCTAAACCTCTGACATAATAATTGATTACAATGATTGCTAGTCCATCCTCACCTTTTTTTAATGCTTCTTACATTTTTGACATATCGTGTTATTTTGGATATAGTCTATCACGTAAGCGTCCCAGTTTAAATAGAATTATCTAAATATACAATTATCTTT